ACTTTGGTGCATTTTTACACTTGACAAATAGCTGTATGACTCCGGTTTTGTTCAAAGTCACAGTGAGTCAAGCACAGTGGCCCTATTCAAGAGCCCACCAATGGTGGTCTACAACTCACTGTTTCCTCCTTCTTTTCTTGCTTTGTTTTCCCCTTGACAGACACTTGTGTACTACTTCTCTCACGTATCTAGACTTCTGAAAGGGTTCTGGAGATTTCAGCAACAACAAAATACATATGCTAAGAGCTCTAAGAACAGGGGCTGGAGAGTCTGGAGAAGTGTCATTTGCCTCATGACCTTGTCGGCTGTTGTATCTTCTGCTTCCTTCCTACTATACTCCGTGCTCTTGGATTTCTCAAGTTCAGAGATTATAAAACCAGAAGGAACCACTGATCATGTAGCCTGATCTCAGAGGCCATAGGACTTCTCTGAATGAATTCCTGTTTGAACTACAGCATTTTATTTTTTTTTTAAAAACATGTGTATAGAAGTGGCTAATGAAGCCCTTGAGCATCTTCAGAATGCCATCATTTGGCTATTCATTGGCTCCTTTGTACTCAGGGATGGAACCACCGGAGATGAGCTCAAACCCAAGGCCAGCTCTGAGCACACTTCAACTTCAGGGAAGTTAGGATCTGGATCTGAACTAAGTGGTATGGGTCCACCTCTAAAACCTTTAGATAAAGATAAAGCTCTTCTGTCTAATGCATTTTTTAAAAAAATATATATATATTTATGATAGGTGTGCCTAGAGGCTCCAACAGAGATCAGGGGCTCATTGAGCTAGATGCTGTAGAAATGCCAGAGAGAAAGAGAGAGAGAGCCCATATACTTCAAGTGGTTCTGAAGGTCCAGATCTGGACTCCAGGCACCATGTAAAGTCAACAGATGAATAAGATGGAGCTGTGAAAGTCCCAGCCAGGAAGAAATTGGGCACAGAATGAGTAATGGGGAGCAATATTCTACTGAAAAATTTGTATGAGCAAAATTTCCAGCCCAAGGGCCTTGGTTTAATCTTTGTGTATAAGTAAAATCCTGTAATTCTTTCCTGGATAATGCTCCCTTTGACTGCAGCAGGTATTTTGCCTGCTTGGGGAATATATTTCATTCATTTACCTTAAGTGGCAGAAGATATATGGAATATGGAGAGAGACAGAATTTTAGGGACCCAGTGCTACAAACTCAACACATGTGCATAAGTGTTTGCAGGACTAGGACCTAAATATGCAAGTATACTTATTAAAGCCACTTATTTAGCGTTTTCTGACATAGTATCATACAGGATTTAAATCAATATGAAATGTTTAGGCTTTTTTGCTTTAAAATGTCGGCATATCCAACAGTAAGTTTCTCAGAGTAAAAACAGCAGTGAGGTAATATCCACTTCCAGCCGCTATTTAAACCTGGGCTAGATTTGAACAAACAAGCTTCCCAATGGCAAAAGGCTTCCTAGCCTGTTACCAATCCTGCGCCATCCTGTTGCCTGCTTCCGTCACTCTTGAAAAATGGAAATTTCTGCCACTAACATTCAGTAAAAGCAGGGTGATCTTACACAGCCCTCTTAAACATAAACCTTTGTATAATAGCCCTGCAGTATCCCATCCTCCACGGATATCAGATGCAGCATTGTAAATGTGGCAGGTTATTTAACTTCCCATACTCCTGCCCCTCTACCTGCTTAAATTATGGCAAGTGCATGATGATTTATCTCTCCTATTATCATTCTCTTCCTATTGCTATTCTTCTAGTCATGCATCATCAATATGGAGATCTTTGGTGTCTCTTCGTACACTCCTATAATTTTTCCAGAGCTTGGTTTATGTGCCTTCAGTCTAAGCATCAAAATGATCTCACAGATCATCGCAAGACGCTTTCTAGCATAAGGTCCCAGGGCTCTTGTGGCAGGTGACATGAGCTGCTTGACTGATCACTTTTAAATGGGAATCTGGGATTAATCTTTGTAAGAAAGAATCTAACTCATAAACTCAAAGTGAGCCCTGTCTAGTGCTCTTTATTAATTAGCATAGTGACAGTGCATCCTTTCTTACTCAGAAGTATAAGACTCAGATTTGGGGGGTAAAAATGGAGAATTAGCTCCTTTTATTAAATTATCAATATTAATAACCCCAAGTATTCAAAATCATGATTCTGGCTAAAAGGCTTGAGGTTTTATTTATTTTATTTTCCGTCTTCTAGTTTTTTGAACCTTTAGGTGTCATGCCATCTTCAAGCACCGCTTTTCTGAAAACTTGAGGGCTAGGGACTCGAAAGCTGAGGTTCTCATGTTCCCATATATGCTGGGGCTTTACGTAAAACACCAAGTATTGCAAGAATAGGTAAAGTTGAATTTTTTGCTTACCTTAATATTTTTGCAACTTAGAATCAGTTCAAACTCCTGCAGCAAATGCCTCTATTAAACAATGGATTTTCTTTTGTGGACCTTATTGCAGAATTGATGATACACATTTGTGAATTGGAATCTTTTGTGTGTGTGTGTGTCAGGAGGAGGGGGAAAGAACTTGATGTATTTCCATATAAATCTGTGTGCAGTAGGACTTGTTTTGGCAGATTTGCAGGAAATAAAGGAGTCCCTGAGGGATGAGATGAATGTCTGACAAAAGCAGATAATGTCTGACAGCTCCTATCAATGCTGAGAGGTCAGACTGCGGAGCTGGAGGGCACGGTGATCTGGTCTTACTGTATTTGGGGAAGAGTCATTCTTAAGAATAGTGCAATATTCTTTTGTGCTATTCAAGGCATTCACTTTCACTTCCAGTGATTGAGTCCCTTGTTGCTACATCATTGCTTATTATTAGTGTTCATTCCAGGGGATATAGCTGGTGAAAATACAACCAAAGAGAATAGAGCGAAGATGTCTGGACAAGTTGTCTCTCGTTAAATTGCCCTTTTTTTCTCTGTTAAAGGACTGATCCTTCAAACCCTGACTTGTTAGACTTCTAAGATTCAGAGGTTTCAATAGACCCAACACCTGTGAACTACGGTTGCAGCTTTGTGCCCCAATCCAGAGCCAGATTGTATCCCCCAAATCCATATGTCAAAGGGGCCCTTGACACACAGATCTTCCCCTTTGGCAGGGAGGAGGAAAGAGACAGCTCCCTCCCTTGAACTGTCCCCTGCTGCTACGACCATGTGTAGGGCTCTTTGGGGACTTCAGTGGGAACAGACTTGTCCCTTGATTTGTTTGTAATGCGTTGTGGCTAAATGCAGAATGAGCTGAAAAATATCTATAACTTGGGGTCCTTGTTTATAGAGGGGAAAGGTCTCCACTTTCCATATGACTTAAAGGCTAAATCCAGCTCTCCTTACTCCAGTGAGAAGTCCCATATAAATCCATTCCCCTGCTGTAGCTTGCCCAGAAGAGTGAGGCATGTTGGCAGGGACGTACAGGGAAGATGGTGTTGCTGCCCCTGTGCTGCATGCTTTTTGTGGATAAATAAATAACTCAATTTTCCAGCTCTCTCCATGCAGCTGCCAGTACTGGTTTTGATGTAGGGCTGTGCTGGCCTGCTTTGGAACACTACTCTGAGTGAGTTAAGTACTTCTGAAAGTGAAGGTCTGATTGCAATTCCTTAAAGCCAGGCACGGTCCGAGCTTCCCTAATATGCCATCCCTCACTCTATGTTTCAGCATCTCTGCTATGCTCTTTTGTTCAGCAGAGACTGTTAGGTTGAGTTATAGGTTGGCTTTGTGAGGTGGATGAAAATCCACAAGCAATCCCCAAAAGCTTGTGACCTGAAGCAGAATTTGAACCCAGGTTTCCAGAAATGAAAGGCCAAGCCACATACGAATACAGTAAGAACTGGTTTCCGAAGAACTCAAGGGTTACATTTTGATTACAATGCAAAGCACTGTTCGAGTTCTGTGCCTCTCTACAGAAAGTTCATGAGAGAGAGAGAGTATGGCTCCGCTCCCGTGAACTGCTCTGGAAACATTAGTATATAGGATAAGTGTATTAAGACATGATTCATTTCTGCCATTGAGTCTTGAAATTTCTTCCATGAGATCCCAGCATATTCATATGATTTGGCTTTGCAGGTTGTAAGGGAGTTGAGAGAGAACTCAGCACAGCATGGGCAGTTCTGATTTGTGGTGCTGTATAATTCCTCATGGCAGGCAGCTTCCCAGTGGGTATGAATTTTGTGGTGCTGGTTGCATTTTCCTGTAAAATACTTATGCCTAAGTCCTTTTACCATATATACAAATTACTGTGTTCCTCTGGGTCTTATTCCAGGATTCAGGTCTAAGGCATCTTTTTATTCAGTAGCACATCTGTTTTGCTCTTGCCAGATGTGCATTACTTTAAGAGGCATAGGCCTACATTTTTAAAAAATGACTAGTGGTTTTGGATGCCTCAGTGTCTGGATGCTCAACGTAATTCCCCTAAAAGGGGAATTTTCAGACAATAGGGAGTACATGCCCTCTGTGAATGAGGCTTCTTCAAGGTGTCAGGCTGGGTACTTAAAATCACTAGTCACTCTTGCAGATGTAGGCGGTCACAAATCTGTCCGTCTGGGTTCCTTTCTTCGCTGGGATGGAGGGGTGTTACGTGTTAGGTCACCTGCTCGGCTATTTACTACCTTGCCGTGCCAAGTGGTCACTTCAAAGAGGTCCTTTCTCCTTGTGCTGCATTTACTATTGGCTCTGGAATGTGGCACCTGCAAAAGACAATAAAGCACCAACCTGGCCACTTCTAGAAAGAGATACATGTTGCACCACTTTGCCAAGGCCTTCCCATATGACTACATCCTGATTTCTAGATGGTTTATAACCAGGCAGCAAGGGAACATGGGGTTTAGTCTCCTCTCAAGATCGTGAAGACCAGGCTTGATAGAGGAACCCAGGACGGGACTTTTACAAAGGCCAATGGCAATTGAATGACCCTTAGGCCCTTCTGAAAAGTTCTGACCCAGGCATCATGATGATGGTCACCAAATAACTGCTTGGAATTATATGTCAATTTCTCATCACCACTCAGGTCACTTCCTGAGGATACTGGCTTCTCTGTTATTCACTGCTGCTCAGGTTATCACTGAAATGTGCATACAAGGACAACTCTGGGTCATCGATTCATCACCTGAACTTCAACTGATTTCTCCTGGTAAGGAATCTTGGTTGAGATTTTAAACCCTTATGTTTAGCAGGATAAATCAGCATTCTAGTCTCCCTACATGACAGTGTTCCAGTTCCAGGAAGGAATGCTTCTACCGGTTTGCTGAGAAAGCTAAAGATACTATTTTCAGATTGTATCTTGGTAAAATGAGTTTGACTATGGCTTTGGCTTCTTGGGTCAGAGGATGCCTGATTTACTTAATGACTGAGAACTTGCACTGAAAAATATGTGAGGGAAGATTGAAGCTGGTGCATTCTATTTTCATATTGCTAGGCCATATGCTTCTCTTTCTGCAGATTTTTCCCATGCTGGGGCTTTCAGATGAGCTTGTACTTGTAGAATTTCCTTCCCTTTATCCTGTGGGAGAAGGCAGTGGGGTCAGGACTCAAAATCTGCAGATGGCCAGCGGTGCTCAGATCCAAAGCTTTTTGAAGTCAATGGAAAAAACTCTTGTTGACTTCAGTGGGAACTGGATCAGGCCCTAAAAGAATATTTATCTTACAGCCTATGTGCATGGGCTAAATTGAAGTAAATAGGAATCTTTCCAATGGCTTTAATAAAGTTTGGATTGGACCCTTAGTTACTGGACTAAAAACAACGTGAGCTGGTCAGGAATTTTCTGTTAATGCTTTTGACAGAAAGTGTGGCTTCCACAAAATCAAACTTTTCCACAGAAAAGATTTTTTTCATCCCAAACTTTTCAGTTTTTCCATCATGAAAATCAAACCAAAATTGATTTTTGTTTTGGGTCATCCCAAAATTGAAACATCTGGGTTTGTTGAACTGAATCACGATGTTTTCTTTTGGCTCAGGTTTCCATTCATTTGTATCTATCTGAGCGGTCACATTGCCTCACGGGAGTTGTAATTGGGCAACTCATGCCCCCAGTCTCTTCAATATGCTGTGCTGCCTGCCTGGGCTACATCTCCCAGGATGCACTGCAGCTTCCCCTCTGGCTGAACTGGTGCATTGCAACATGGAAGTCTCAATTGAAGACAAAAACAGTAGTTGAAATATAGAAATTTTCAGCAGAATGGAAACTCTAATTTTCAATCAGGTTTTAAAATTACACACTGTGTTCCAGAGCTCTGTATCTTGGAAAATAGCTGATATTTCCCTTTTCTTTTCTTTTCTTTTCTTTTCTTTTCTTTTCTTTTCACCATAGGGACAAAATAATTCACTGTCCTTGCTGGAGTTAGACCTGGGAATAACACCATAGATGAACTTACCTTTAAGCTTGACTGCCTTCGAATAGCTCATAAATAATACATACAAATAATCAACTTATTCAGTGTAATTGATGATGGGACTACTGCCAAGGCATAGTATTTCCAATCACATCTTCATCTAATTTGTAAAGAGACACTATATTCCACCTTGACATGTTTATTATTTGACTCCGGAGCCAGTTATCTATATGGGCTCCCTCTATATCTCCTGCCACTGACATAACAATCTCACATTCTGACTCTCCTACATGGCTTGATATTGCAGCTGTATAACAAAAGGAAAGTAACTACAGAGAGTGTTCCCTTTGGACCAGCTTCTCTAAGCTGATGACACATTCAATTAGCCTGTTGCTAGAAAGGTTAGGGATGTTATTTTTTGCCAACACTATTAAAGCATTTCTCCTCTGAGTTGAATATATCAAATAGACTGGCAGATTCAGACACAAAAATATCCCTTTCTTATGTTCATCCAAAGCGTGTTCCTTGTCAGGTTCCACAATGGGCTAGTTCCTGCATTCCTATGAGTCAGTTTGACCTTCTGTAATCCTGTCCTTAAGTCCTGGCAGGGGTGATTCTTCTAACCTATCCATCCACTGGCATCACAGCAGCTAATATGGGGTGTTAGTAAAGGTCACCGCTGGATATTTGCCGGGAATGATCTCTGAATCTGTTGAAAAATTGAGAATGAGACTTTTAAAGACAAATATAAAACCCCCAGTGCATTGGTCAGTGCAGTGAAGCAAGGAAAGTAACCTGCTGTTATTTTGTACTATTATCTTCCTTTGAGATGTTGGGTCTGATTCTCCACATCTCTGAACTAGTATAAATATACACAGTAAAATGTGCCATATCTATATGTATCTCAGATCCTTATATGGCACCCATTGGCACCTTACAATCTTGTAATATAGTTAGTCTGACAACAGCCCTGTGAAGTAGAGAAGTACTATAATCTTCAGCTTTTAGATGGTGAAATGAGGCACAAAGACTAAGTGACTTGCCCAAGGTCATACAGGTAGTCTGTGGCAGAGCAGACAATTGGAACCCTGGTCTTCCAAGAGCCAGGCTAAGCCCTTGCTGCTGTACCAGATAACTCTGCAGTCTGTAAACAAATTGAGAACTGAGTCTTCTACCAGTGTTACTAGAACATTTGTTCAAGATGGGTGTGGTTTCAGTAAGATCTATAGACCCCTAATGCCAAGCAATAGCTAACCTAAGCATCCTCTGTATTTTGATCAAAAATTGAGGATGAAAGCAAAATTGAGCTGACTATCTCATTCCAGTGCACCGGGATCAAAACAGCATCATTTTGCATCTCCTGTCCTCACCTCTAGAGTTAATTATAAATTGCTATTCTGGTAACTACTGGTGTGCATAACAAATTGACAGTCATCTGAGGCAGGTTTTTAATGTTCTGAAATGCCTTTGCGAAGAAGGGTTGCATAGAACTTTCTTTGAAACCTATTAGTCAGTGAGGTTGTGACACTGTGTGACACCATTAGCCCAGAGTGAGAGCCTTGGTTGGGGAACTGAACGGGGGTGTTTGAAAGAAGTGTGGTGAACTAACCTGCTTAAGCCGGGATGAAAGGTGTGGTGCTAATGTGTTCACTAACATAGTCTCCCAACACAGCTTTAAATCCTGGGCTAGATGAGGCTTGGAGGGCCAGCCTAGTGAAGAGCGCTTCTACTCCACTGCAGGATATGCCTGTAGCACCGTGCTCTGACTCATGCACTGTGCTGACATAATTATGTGCTACAAATCACGTACTAAATTGTTGCTGGAAGTTCTTTTTATCAAGGTCCAGCCACAAGCAGGGCTTAGATAGCTGTGTGTTTATTTATAGTCCATGTGCGTTTTGATTACCATGGTCATGGTCGATTATACCACGACGTTACTGAACTCTGTAGAATTCTTTGACCTCTAATACACACGAACCATGATGCAATCTTGACATCCCCTTGCTTTTCTAGGGGAGGACAGGCGGAGGGGTGGTGTCTGTGTCACAAAATACCATAGCCCATTAAGGGTCAAAGCCAGGGGTGGAAGTGAGCCGGTAAGAGCCCGCATCGGCCCATACCCAACCCACGTTAAAGCACTCCCTGCCCCTTTTGCCTCCCCTGTTGGCGGCCCTGCCGGTATGGACCCTACCAGCAGGGCTGCTGATGGGGTGGGGCTGGGGGGGCCCAGCAACATGAGAGCGCTGCCGCGGCAATGGACAGTCCTTAAAGGGCTGCCACGGCAGGGCTTTAACGTCGCTGCCCCTTCCCCCGTCGGGGAGGCAAAAGGGGCAGGGAAATTAAAGAGCTGCCGCTGAAAAGGACCCTGTAGCGCTTTAACGTCCCTGCCCCTTTTGCCGCCCCCGGCCGCCGACGGGCCGGGGGGGTGGGGCGGGGGCAAAGGGAGCAGCTGTCTTGGGGCTGGCGATTTAAAAGGGCCCGGGGCTCTGGATGCCACTGCCACTACGGCAGCAGCGGTATCCGGGGCCCCGGGCCCTTTAAATCAAAGGGAGCCCTGGGCGGCAAGGGCCACACAGTATGGAAGGGCTGGCTGGAGGATGCTGACCCCCCCAACCCTGCCCCTTCCGCTGGAGGCCCCGCCCCTTCTGGGGGCCAGAGGCCCCCCCCACCCCGTACCATAAGTGTCCTCAGTTACTTTCATCCCTGGTCAAAACTGTGGAAAATCTTGGATAGTCTCAAGAAAATAAATATCCTTAATTTCTTCCAGCCGATGAGGTTGTTTTTGGGCAGCTTTGCCAACCAGAGAGAAACAAGGAGCCCTGAGAGAGATCTCCTTCTCTCTCTTTTAAATCCTAAAACTGGGATTGGGTAAATCATTTTAAAGTGTATCCATCTTTTCTGAGCCTTGAGTTGAATGAGCGTTCTGTCTTTCCTTGGACACTGATAATGGTTCAATAGACTCTTTGTAAATTACAAGTGTTTCCAATCTGAAAGCAAGGGAGTCAAGAGATTGTGCACTAATTCCACCCCCTTCCACACACACATTTTATTTGCATTAGGAAACTTGATACAATGTGTTGAAGTAATTACCTCCAATTGCTTCTCCTCAACCTGCTGGATATTCATCACCTTCTCTCTTGGGTCTGCTTCCTCCTTTTCTACAGCAGCTGTCATGTCACTCTCAATATCATCATTTAAAGGTTGCAGTTCTTAGGTGTCCTGTCCTGGCCTGTTCCCCACCTGGCAGCATAGGCATTACAAACAGCTCTGCAAGCTATGTCAGATACAATTGAAACAAAAAACCTCGTGGCCACACACTGCTGATTTCTCAGCTGTTCCAAAATCAGGAGCTAGACTGGGGTTGGCTAGTCATTAATGCCACCAATACAAAACTATTCTAGTTTGTCTCCATCCCAGAGATGGCGATTAGGAGTTTTCCTCTAACACTGACTTTAGCCTGGATAAAACTGGGGATGTGGAGCTAGATGTTATCCCCTGCTGCTGAAAACCTTCCAAAAGATGCCAGAACTATTCAGCGTGAAGGGGTTTCCCTGTGCCAAACACACACAGAGGGTCAAACTCCTGCTGTTACAAATTGTACTCAGCTAAGAGATGTATCAAGTGACATGTAACCTGTCTGGATACCAGTGTGGGCCTTTTGTCACCCTGTGGTGGATGGACCACAGAAAGAGTTCAAATTTTGTTACTACAGAACCTCCAAAGGCAGTGGTCGGCTCCTCCAATGCTTTTGGATTTTGAGGTCCAAGTTCAGTCCCCACAGGAGTCTGAATGAGGCCTTCT